CACAAGCTAAACACATCGAAGCCTAAATCGCGCTAACAATGTTCCGAAATTAAAGCAGTATATATAGAATAGCTCCGAATTACCACTCGGAGCGTTGGCCGCTCCCCGGGCAGAACACCTTGCCCGGCAGGAGATCTCCCCTTTTCCTTCCACCGGCCACAGTGGTGACCCCGACGTGATATGAACACGCAACCAACAACCTTCGGAAACTACAACTTCAAACCTTCGTCACTTCGTCATCATCCTCAAGCCATCTAGCTTTATAAAAGGTTCATCGCAGCACTGGAATAATAATGCTTCCTGTTACCTTCAAGCTACTCTCTGCGCTACAGTGTTCGGCACGGCTCTGAGCCTTACTGCTCGCCTCTGCTTCACGGCACTCTCGCAGATCATTTGTCTTCTTCTGGACTCACCGCAGACTACAAGGCAATCCCTGGCACTTGCTCCGGCTCATCGTTCTCACCAGCATCACTTGCAAGTGCGTAGTACGGCAATCGGACTGCACTATCGACCTGCTAGAGCAGGGGGGTGATATGGCGGCGCTGTCGTCGCGCCACACAATTGATTGCCTCATAAGGAGAACATTTGTTATAGTGGACAGGCTTTGTATTTAACGCCATAATATGTCGTAATATATCAATAACGACATATTATTGCGTACTTCAGTAATTGTTGTTGTATGACAATGCAATTAAAATTTAATTGCTTAATGACCAGCAAATGATTAACCAGTGTTTTATATTGAAGCTTGCTGATCTCTCTTCAAATAAGCTACCGTCATAATATAATATAAACATATTTCAATTTTGTTTTAATTCTTCCTGTACGATCGTATTCATTGCTTGGTGAAATGTATTCTGTATCATTTAAATGACTTAGTGAAATGCCAAGAAAACCTACTATAGGTAAATAGCAACAAAATCATCTCGTGTAATATATTATAAATGTAGAAAACTTATACCTTCAACTTATACGTGGTAGAGCCATGCTGCAGCTATATTAATAGTATAATTGTAGCACGAATGGGTCGGCTCGACCGGGGAAGGACCACGCTCTCACAGAATACCAGCGTAAAATAGCAGCTTAATGCTGCTGTGTTTCGTATGGTGAGTGTAGAGAACCGGAGACCCTTTTTACTGGGAAAGAGGCATTCTATCTTAGTCCTCACGGGTGACAACGCATCTGCATTTTAATTCGCAAACGAAGATAGATATAGATGTCTATGGGCCACAGCAACCACTTACGATCAGGTGGACTATGTGCTCGTTTGTCACCGTTATTCTATAAAAAAAAAACTAGTGGCGTTAGAAGATTTGAAGATTGAGTGTGATCTGTGTTGGCCAATCTACGAGTCAATCACGATTATGGCGAATATTCCCTAACATAACATAGTAAATTCCTAAATTATTTTTGTGATTCGGATTGACACGTACCTGTTTCACGAAAATTTATTGCATGCCGTAAGCGCTAAGCGCGTCGTTATGTTCTACTAGGACTTAAAATTTTAATGTATTAACTACAAAAACCGACTTGTTTTGGCTCACAGCATAATAGTTAATAAATTAATATAAATATTAATGAAAAAAGTATAAGTGTCAACTCAAAACGCAATAAGGAAGATAAAATCTCACCGGGCGAGGACAATTGTAAGTATAAATTAATTTATAGATTTCTTTTAAATCATTCCAGAATTTGACAATCTATAGCCATGTAGAGATATATAGAGTCATTCTATCAAAAATAATACCTTGTATTATACACCGTTATGGAATAAATAAGTAAATATAAATATGGACTATTTTGTAGTACTAGCCACTCCGACCCAAGCCAAGCCATTGCCAATTGCCAGAACAAATGGAAGAAATAAGAGTATGGAAGTCTTTTAAACAAACGCCTGATTAAAGTTAATAGCAATATTGTATTGAGCACTAACTAAATTAAAATTATTCATATATGTATATGTTAAACATAATAACGGAATCCCACTCTAGTAGCTTGTCTAATATCGTGAAGGTGTTTTACACACATAAAGTCAAATTAAGCGCCTTCTGATAATCCTTCCATAACTGAAAATTAGACTAATTAAAAAAGTAATAACCAACTAGCCTAGAAAAATTGACCTTTCGATTTCAGAAGTTATTGTGTATTTTTTTAACGTTCTTAGTTCTTCGAAATCGGATTTATTTTTTATTTAAAGTCAGATTTTTGTCCGTTTTAATTGGACCAAGAAATATAAAGCTCAAATGTCGTCTAAATAGTTACATTAAAATATCATCCCTTATTTTTCCTAAATTAGGAGTAAGAATGATTTCCTAAAATATATAGTCCCATATATGAAATCTAACCTATTAGATGTAAAATAATATTTGAAATCGGTTCACAATTGACAAATATAATATGGCGTGACATACATACCCTATTCGTTTTTTGAAGTCGGCTTAAAATACCCATTTGGTGCAGAACAGTTTAGGAGCTGATAGAGATGAAAAAGTAGACTGTAAATTTTAGTAAATACTTTAAAGTACGTAAAATTTTTAAATAGATTTAATATAAAATAGTCAAAAACTGAGCTATTGTGTACTTTGTGGTATTTTCTTATTGCACGCCTCATAACGCGAACCGTTATCAGTAGTGCATTACTCTCGACATGTCAAAGTCAAGCAATTTTGTGGTCTTAAAATGCCTTTATCATAACCATATTGCACTTAGACGATGATATGAGTAGTCGTGTATCAAGAAGACACTAATTAATCCATCTTATATTTTCTAAAAATCATTTTATGTTGCTACTTTGATAAAAAAAAAACGGTTAAATTTTTTTTACGTGGACGTCCGGATGTTGATTTTGACTGGGTTTTTTATTAGCTTCAGAATTACATCAACTGATTCCGTATTTCATATCAATAGCCGTACGCGTCGTTTGTTAATAAAATGATTATCAAGTTTTATAAATTTTGTTGCTATTAAAAAAATTAAGGCGCTTTTATTTTCTTTTTTAGCCCTTGATAGGCAAAGGACAAATGTACCTACCATATAGCCTATATAGATTTTATACTTTGTGTAATCGATATGTTTGGTAATTTATTTTTTTCGTCAAAACTAAATAAAACGCTTATGAGGCGTGCTCTTTTGGAATTTCCATACTATTCTAATACTAAGCCTGGTTAACTGTTAAACTGTAATTATTAAGTTATGTTTACGTGGAATTTAAAATAAAGGTATAATAAAAGCCTAAATCATGTAATAAAATATTTTATTTTTATTTTTAAATATAATGATTTCTAAGGAACATCTCTTTTACAATATTCTATCACATTGCTATGATAATATTCAAATAGATGCTAATTTATCAAGTTTTACTTGAAAATTTATTTGTACGTAAATTATGCACTAATTATAAAATCAAAAGTATGTTTATTTTTGTTAAGGATAAACATATAATTCATATTATATATAAATACCTCTTAAGTACATAAATTTATAATAATATAAATTTATGTACATAAGAGTTTGTAGTATGCGATAAGGTATACGGAAAAAGAACCTAATCAAATAATAAAATAGAGTCTTATTTTCAGAATTAGGATATCATAGATATAGACCTGAGTAATATTTATATAATTCATCATAAAATATAATTGTGTAAATACTATAATTCTGTATAATTGGTATAATTGTGTAAATTCTAACCTATACTTACATATGAACAAGATAGAAAAATTAAAATGTATAGGATTTATTGCGAGGTACTGATAATGATAATAAAATGACTGTATTATATCTTAGTCATTAATGATTACAATTTACACGTGTATTGTTCTGCAATACATGACAAATGCTTGTTGAAAACCGACATAGTCTCCGTTATAACGAATCGTAATTGGCTAAGTGTTAACTGGTTGATATAAATACAAAACATTTTATTTGCAAGCGAACCACCAATCTACACTCCTTAATTTAAAACAGCGTTAAGTAACTACGGTTAAATAGTTTGAAAAAATAGCCGATTTCTAAGATAGAATACAAAATGTCAGTCTATTATTAGTAAAAGGAAATATTTAAGGGGTTTATAGTATCTCTATATATAAAAATCAATTGCTGTCCGTTAGTCTCGCAAAAACTAGAAAATGGCTCGACCGATTTTCATGGATTTTTTGTGTGTGTTTGAGTGGGTTCCTGGATAGTTTAAAAACTCAGTTGGACCCGGCAGGTGGCGCTGTTGTTGAGATCCAGAAATCACCTGTGCAAAGCCGGGGCGGATCGCTAGTATTAAATAAATCGTAATATTAGGAGAATTATTAGAATTCATAATATGCGAATTGGAATTTATTTGCAGATTTTAAATTGTGATATTTTTTAATAAATAATTTATTCATATGGGTGATTAAAGTGGACTGGTATTATTTTGGCATAGTCAAATAATTTTTAATTTGAATTCTTTGAGAATTCAATTTTGAAAGATCAGAAACTAACTTTAAATGGAATAGTCTTTCTTTCATGTAGAGTTATATGAGCAACCGGTAGGCAAATTATTTACATATCTTGATAAAATATTTTTCCTCTTAAACACTTTACCTATAGAGGTTTTACGTTGACGCTGGGATTCTTAGGAGTGATCTTCACCTTTGGAGTGTCTTGCTTTCTTTAGAAGCAGTAGCAATGATGATTTGAAATCAGGGTTGCCACTCATAATATATGACGTGTGACCGTAATCTATATTAATTTAAAACTTTAAAAGTTTCTTTCCGAAGAGATTAAGAAAATTAGTTATTATCCAAAACAGATAATATTTTATTAAATTTTGAAAAAGAAAACAGAACTGTAATTTTTCTTTTTGGTGTTCCAAATAGAATAACTACATATACGTGGCTAGTTCCCTTAGCGGAAGGTTTATATAAATGACTTTTATGAAACATCTGAACAGCTGACTGTGCACTGAATTAGTCAACATGTTAAACATAAGTTTTATCAACTGTTATTATTGTATTTGAAAATGTCTTTTATGTGACAGAGAGTGCGCCTCGGAAGCGATGGTCGAGGCTGCCATAGGATGGTCGGTAGCGAGGCGTGCGCTGGCTCCACGGGCTGCGGCGGTTCTTGTAGCTAGAGCACGCAATCAGGCTGTTCATCGCAGGCGGCCGGGATTGTTCCACGCTGATGCCACAACGGCGGCTGTAGGGGAACAAACTTTTAATTATTAATAAACCGCATAGAAATATAAAAAGTATTTTATTTCTTGGAACCTTTGTACAACAAAACCTTAGTACAAAAATCTTACTTTTTTATAGAATAAGGGTGACAAACGAGCACACAGTCGACCTGTTGGTAAGTGGTTGCTGTGGCCCATAGACATCTACACCTGATCACTTTGAACTTCCTCATATGGCCAGCAGTCAAGGACCACGTTTCAATAAGTCATCAATACTGGCAAGCGCCGTGTTGAGCGACCCACTAGATGAAGTGACGACCTGATAAAACATGATGTACGCGGGTGGCTCAGATGTATGCGAGTGGCCGTACTTTGGGGCAATCTATGTGTTGGGCTCATTAGTAAAGCGTGATTAGAATACGGCTCTGTATCTGTATATATATATATATATATATATATATATATATATATATATATATATATAAAATATAATATATATATATATATAAAGTATGTTATTTGCTGCTTTCTTATTAGGCTATGGAAGACATACCATTTTTTATACTTGCGGAAATGTGAATGCGGATAGGTTTGGTGAAAGAAACGCAATTTTTGGCTCCAGGCTTCTAAAACTTATGCTAACCAAGTGGTTGTGTTTTTGGTTGACAGTGTCTTTGACAAAACTTTCGATTTTTATATCACTTACCTCTTAGTCCTTGGCGGAGGCATTATATATTTATCTCCGAGGAGTACACTCTCATCCAGCGTTCCATCTAATTGTAATAAATCACCAGCTGACACTGAGACGTCCATCTTGGAAGCGCGGTCGCAAGTCCATAAGTAGAGCAACACCACGACCATCTGGATAAATAAATTTTTGCGTTGTAATATGATACTGTTTAGCATTGGTGTCATATTATATCAGCGCATACTATATCATATTATATCAGCGCAACTTACATTTTTTACATTTTATGACTTCGTACGTTTTAGTTTTCTTGCCTGTTTAGTAACCTATCAAAAATCGTTAAAACCTATCTAAAACCCACTGCTATGTGTGCCTTCTCCATAGATTCCCTTATAGGAGTTATATTCGGTACTGTTCCACCTGCCATGCTTGGTAGACAACAGAGGCGTGGCAACCGCAGTTTTTATTATTATGAGCTATCATCATTATATTATTATATGCAAAATATTAAAAACATAAATACATAAACTTACTACAACCAAATGCAAAATAAAAATAAACATCGTAGATTGTCTGAAGCCGACGGAATCGAATAGGAGACCGGATACCGTCGGACCCACAAATGCGCCCAACGCGAAGACTGAAGTCCACATGCCAGATACAAGACCATAAGTTTCAATGGAGTTGGGCAAACCACTGGCTCTGCAAGTAACAATTTCATAAATTTTAAAATTAAAAATTAACACTTTTGAGTCTACTATAAAAAGTAGGAGTTTCTCAAGAGGACGTCATGCTTTTTTTGTGTTTGTTATGCGATATCTTCTTCAATTGTAAACCGATTTTGAATATTATTTTTTTAAATAATAAATAATATATTTATTCAAAAAAAGAATATTCAATATGGGAATAAAGGTTTAGGATAACTATTTAGACGACGTTCTAGTTTAAACACGAATTAAAGAAAGTGTTTGATCTTTTGAAAATATTTAAAAGCACATAATTGGACTAATCGTACCCTAATTTACGCTTTTCCTATAAGGCAAATGCTTACGGCGCTAATAAATAAGCCGTGTTATTATAATCATTAATCATATTTTAATTATTACGTGTAGATGTGATTGTATATTATATCAATACTTATATGTTATAAATTTTTTATTTTCAAATATTTTCCCTAGGTTTGCGTGGACTAATTTTTTAATTTTAATTTTAAATTTATATTTTAACTATCTTATATTATTTCTTCGCCATATTCTAATATGTTTAATGTGCGTATAGTGTGTTCAATATAATATTTATGTTCCTTTAGAGCTGTGGTAGCTCTTGAAAAATTTCATAGTATCCGAAGAAACTGAGTTCGACCCATATGGACTGTAGTGAAGGAAAATTGTACGGTAACCAGCATGTCTGGAAAATTAAGAGAAAAATGGTACATATGTTGTCGTTGTTGTTGCTTTTTTTTTTACTTTCCATGATTAATTATTAAAGAAAAAACTTTAATATGATAATTTAGATCTCTTTAAAGTTTTTTTTCACTTACATAGCAGTGCTCAAAGCGTCCGAGAATGAGGCAACTAGCTGGCTACCCATACCCATCCCATGCAGCACCAAACCTAGTATTGTCATCCACATAAGTCTGTAAACAAATAAAAAAAATCATTATTATTATGTATAATATATTATTTAAATCATGGAAAGGAACTATTGTGTAAGTAGTAGTAAAAGCGCATATTTTGTATTATGCTGAGACCGACTTAAATGACAAATGTACCCACAATCATAATAATTTAAAAATAACCGAACGCAAGGCACATTTACACTACATTAGATTTGACCAAAAAGAGAGAGAGAGATGATAGCCATTGCCTTCTTCTTCTACTTTATCGGGGCGTAAAAGTTCACATTTTGTTTATAGGATAGGGTAACAAACGAGCACACAGTCCACCTGATGGTAAGTGGTTGCTTTGGCCCATAGACATCTACATCTATCTTCGTTTGCGAATCCAAATGCAGTTGCGTTGTCACCCGTGAGGACTAAGGTGGGGTGCCTCTTTTCCAGTAAAAAGGGTCTCCGGTTCTCTACACTCACTATACGAGACACAGCAGTTTTAAGCTGCTATTTTACGCTGGTATTCTGTGAGAGCGTGGTCCTTCCCCGGTCGAGCCGACCCATTCGTGCTACAACTATACTACTAATATAGCTGCAGCATGGCTCTACCACGTGAAAAACGTGTTCCTCTTTTGTTGTAAAGAAGACATGCCTTAATTGCTACGCTGTACCAGACGTCTCGCAATGTTAACGATGCTGCCGGTCGCCAGACTGGGTAGTTTTAAAGACATAGTTGTATCGTCACCCACTGAAAGCCATAAGATCTTTCAGGCATTTCCCACAGTCCCTTTAATTCCCTTTAAATTAGTATTATTTGAATTTCCCCTCATAATTATAAATTATATGCATTTCCTCTTTTTATAAATACTTGTTTTTTTTTTCTTTTTGCTTAATTTTCTCTGCATATATATATATATATATATATATATATGTATGTATGTATGTGTGTATATATATATATGTATATATTTATCTATATGTATGTATATATGTATATATTTATTTATTTATGTTTATTAATTTTATAATATTATATATTATATAATTCATATATTTATATAAATCGTGTTTAATTATAAGTTTTTGTCCTCAGTTTCATTTTACATTGCACGTTGCACCTATCCGTCAAAATATATTACATTGTTCCCTATTACGTTCGGTTTGTCAGGTAGAAATCGCTTAAAGCGATATGACCACCGTTTGTAGTTCTTAAGTTATTCCGTAATTGTAACACTTTGTATAAATGCAATAAAGAGTTATCTATCTATCTATCTATCCCCTTTACAGCACCCATTTCACGTAATGGGTATATGGATTTTTTTACGTTACCACATAGCAAGGCCGCCATAGTGTTGGTACTAATAATTATATTTAAAATTGAACTACCTAAATAATTTACGTTCCTTATCATAAATTGGGTCGTTCAAAATGTTCTCAAAGTAATTTCTTAACAAATAATTTTGTTCACTTACGTTGGCAAATTAATAAAGGGCGCCGGACCGATCAGAATGAAAGCACTCGCGACACAGAGGCATCCCATGATGGTAACGTATTTGGGCTTTATAGAGGGATGGTCGCAAAGCCAGCCCCAGGCTGGCGCCGACACCGCGTACACCCCGCCGTTGATCACAAACATCAGGCCCAGTACCACCGGGGAGAATTTGAACTGGAAATTTGTGTATGATTAAGTTCTCCTAGTCAATAGCAACAACTTTTATGACACAAGCAAGTCTAACAGCGTGTGTGTTCGTTCAGTTTATCTCATGGTAAGTGGATGAAGTAGACATCCTCATCTATCCCTGATTACAAGATAAATGCAAATTTATTGTTGCCCCTTAGATTATGGTAAAAAATTTCTTTACGTTCTCCTTTCTTTGGAGTTCATCCATTGCGTAGAACATATTGGAACGAAGTCCCTTATCGGACGATACGGGTTTGGCGGATGGGAGCTACGCGACAAAAAGTGTAAGATTTTTTCGTTATTACCCCTTGTGTCATAGTGTGCAAAAATTTTATTTGTATTGTTTATTTGTTTGTATTTGTTAATCAACAATATAATACGTTTATCAATAATAATATACTACGAAAAGAACTTCGTTCCAACCGCGTGTTCCACGACACTCACGCATGTTTTTATTCCTTTAAATTTAAATTATGACATTACATTTTGATATTTCTGCGATAATTCGGATTATTGTTGTTGATATTTTGTTCGGATCATGATTTTGCGCAAATGTAGGCATCCACTGGTATTCATTACCAGGATCAGTGATTTAGTAACACTCTAACAAATAGGTTTCTTGGTTGTCAGAATTCTGTCTATACTGTTGTGTAAATGCTTTATTTCACCTTCATGTCGAGGGCTTTTTAAATATTGAATCGCAAATTTTATCGTATAGAATAATTTAACGATAAATTAAAATGTCATTAACACTATCATCACTACATTCAAAAGTCTACTCCTGATCATAGGCCTCCCAAGGAATAGAAACAATATAATAGAAACAAAACACAGACTTGAGTCACATGCATCCATCGACTTACCGCACGGCTTACCGGGTCTTCATTCCATCTAGTGGGGACCCCACACTTCGCTTGTCAGAACGACATTGCCACTCAAGAACCTTTCGTATTGTTGGATGTTGGTTTACGAGGTATTTGACCGGCTCATTGTCACTTCAGTTTGCTGATCCATGATGTTGGAATACGTTCTAACTGTTATTTTGTTGTTATTACCGAGGCAAGTTGTACATTATAAATAAATAAAAAATTAAGCTCAATATAGGATTTTACTAAAACGACAGTGAAGTAGCAACGCTTATCAACGAGGGCTAATATTCTTTCACTCACTAGATGTCGCTAGTTGTGACTGAGGTAATATTTTTTGTTACATAATGTCAATTAATTGAGAAATTAGTTTTAAATAATAGTTAATCATTATCTAGAGTATTATATTCACATACAACACAATGCGTCAGTGGTTTGAGTTTGAATTTTTTTCAATTAATAACTCGTTTTTTTTTTTAATTTTTTTCTACTTTTAGTTATATTTATAGTTTGGATTATTCATTTCTAATCTAATTAATATAAAATATAACTAATGATACGGAAAGGAACCTTAAAGTTTACATTTTCCTAAGAAATTATCATTCCGTATCGTATTATGAAATCTGTGAAATATTTTACCGTAATGTAAAGTGGCGCCGCCCTGGTGACAGAAAAAATCGTGGATGCCCTCATTGCGCTAACGCGTTACTCGTAGTTGTAAATGGTCCAAACACAATATCGCCCAATTTGCCTTTATCAGAACACTGACATTATTACTGATCTCTACTGCGTCTTAACTAATACTCATATCAAGTCCACCGTGTCTATCAAAACGTTTATTTTTTGTAGCTACAGTCATAATTTTTTCTCCAAGGAAAACTTTTCCCTCCAAATTGCTAAATACGAAACTGCTGTGTATAGCAAGCAATAAGACTACCTTTCGTTTTAACTCAGTATTTGTATATTTTGTTTTGTTATTCCGTTGTTTGTCTGTTACAAAATATTGTATTCAAAGGAAAAATAGGAGACCACGAAAATAGTTAATTATGTCTCTATTGTTGCGAAATTAAATAAACTAAAACAAATTACTTGGCACTTGTTTACCTGTCGCAAATGTGGTTCAAGCGTCGCCTGTAAAAATCCAATGCTCATACTAGTCGACATGATGCTGATTGCCGCGAGTGAAACGCCAGGGATTTTCAATAGCGTGAACATGGTTGCTATGGAAACAAATATTCAAATTATGTATACAAGTTAAACAACTAAATTAGTTACTATTGCCATAAACACTAATTAAAAATTGCATGTTATGGACGACGGACAACGTTTTGTTACAAGCAAATACTATAATCTATTCCTTTACTTGATGCTAAGAGGATGCGGGTGTGGTCTATAGATATCTACATCTATCCTCAATTAAGAACCAAAATATCGATAATTTCTCACCCCTGAGGTCTAAGATGGAATGCCTTGTTTCCAGTAGACTCTTCCGTTCTTTTCACTTATAATATGAAACACATCAGAATTAAGCTGCTATTTCACGCTGCATATAGTAAAGGGAAGGGAAATCGGAGAAGAAATTGCCCATTATTATTGAAATGCCTAAGTTTTTTTTTAGACAGGTGATGTGCGAGAGGAAATTTGTAATTAATATTAATTACTTGAGAGTCATATATTGAGGTAATCGGCGTCGTAAGAGTGTCCGTTACTTTATGTCAACCCGTGGGTGTCGTGAAAGGACGGGGCTTTAAAGGTATGATGAAGAAGTAGAAGAAGAAGACTTACGTCCAGTTGGTTTTAGATCCTCATCATCGTGACATTTTGGCAGCACTGCGTAGCTCATCACTGCTGTGCAGAAAAGCGTCGCACCAAGCACCGCGAAAGGAAGATAGTATCCCCCGATACTGTATAAGGCACCACCGAGAGTAGGACCAACTATTAAGCCAAGTCCGAAGAATGTCTCTAAAGAGGCCTGGAGAAAAATGAATACAAAATTGTATAGCGTTACCGTTACCGTTACAGTCTTTTAAAGTCCATTGCGAAAATAGACCTTCCCCTAGATTGCCTCATATGCGGGATATGTGCCATAGTTACCACGCTTGCCACGGTGGCAAGTGGGTTGACAACCCCAGTTTATTTTTTATTTTTAGTCCTTATTAGGAAGACGCTGCTGCCCATCTCTTGATTTGCTTCTCTTCAAAATTGTATGCAATGAAAATAATTATTTATCTAAATACCAATTTATAATGATAGGGGTTTTCTTTACTTTATTTTTACTTTAAAAAATATTTTTTCCTGAATTATCGAGGCGTTTTACATACATAAATCACATGAACAAACATCCAGAGCAAACTCTGATTTAAATTCGTGCCCTGTTGCGCCTAAGGGGAGACATGTGTACATTTTTATTCAAACTCATGGCCTAATGGTAGAAAATCTATTTTAAATTCCCACTCCTACTCACCAAATCCTTTGGCAAGCGTAGTAGTCACTTCTTAAAAAATATGTCTTCATCAGCACGAAACATTTCACAACTAGACAAGAACTTACGTAGTCTAGGGAGGACCAAAATATACTTTTAGCTGGCGGACTTGCGATCACAACTCCTACTGGTACTACACGCTACTGGTTGGTCGGGTTTTACAATCTCGAGTTTAATATTGTAGGCTTTTTTTATAGAATAAATGTGACAAGCAAGCACACAGTCCACAAGTTCCTGCAGCCTATAGACATCTACATCTATCCTCGGTTACGAATCAAAATGGAGATGCGTTGTCACCCGTGAGGACTAATATGGAATACCTCTTTTCCAGTAAAAAGGGTCTCCGGTTTTCTACACTCACCATACGAAACACAGCAGCGTTACGCTGTTATTTTACGCTGGTATTCTGTGAGAGCGTGATCCTTCCCCGGTCGAGCCGACCCATTCGTGCTACACTATCATATTAATATAGCTGCAGCATGGCTCTACCGCGTAAATAGTAAGTTAGTAATTTAGGTAAGGTTGTGTTTAAACTTGACATATATTTAAGCTAAGCTAAGTGTGAAGACTCTACAATGGATGAGTCCCTTGTCCAGCAGTGCATTTTTACTGGTTGATTATGAAAATACCTTACTATGTATAATTGAATTGATTTTATTTTCTTGCTTTTTTGATTTGTTAAAGCCTGTTTAACAGAGACTACAATAAAATAAAATTTCTAGGCCTAAAATATGTAAGTAAACGCCTTGGCTCGCTGGCCTTTTAAGTAATACTAAGTTTATTTATTGATGATATTTTGCTTTATAAAAAGCAGTAGGCGTTTCAAATTTATTAAAATATTTTTGTTGTTAATTACGCTTAAATTATGTATTGTGTTTAATATTATAATATGTATATGTAAAAGGATAGATTTTAGTATTTAACAAACATTTGCAAGTTGAACAGGTCAATTTCTACTATATCATATAGTTTCAGAAACAAAGGCAAAGGGAAGAAGCTTTAATAAGTTAAAAATATATTACCTTAAATTAAAATACTTACAAACATTGTTGCCACATTGTTTGGAAACTCTTTGGCTATAATGGCAAATGATGCCGTGAGGAAAGCTGCGTTACCCATCGCCTCTATAATACGTATCAAGAAGCTCAAAGTTATAAATGGAATGTGTCCCTCCACGTTATCAAGTAACCTGCGAAGAGTAAATGGATAAATATAATTATGTGCATGTTAAATACATAGAAAGATAAATTTATTATTAAATTACTTCCTCCTTGGATCAGTGGTTGTAAAACCGACTGATGGTCTAGAGATCTCGGGTTCAAAGCTTAGGTTTGAACTAGACTTTTAACCCGATTGGATTTTGAAATTAATTGTTGGAGTTTTCAGACAAGAAATTCTCAGTAGCAACCCTGTGCCTCAGAAAGCACATAGAGCGTTGGGCCTGCGCCTGATCTCTCTCTGGTCGTGTAAGATTACCGTCCCACGGGTATATGAGAGTAAGAGAATAGCGAGTGCACTTGTGCTTGCGCAATCACTCTGGCACTATAATCTTGCTTTTTTTTTAAATTATTTTTTATAGAATAAAGGTGTCAAACGAGCACACAGTCCACCTGATGGTAAGTGGTTGCTGTGGCCCATAGACATCTACATCTGTCTTCGTTTGCGAATCAAAATGCAGATGTGTTGTCAGCCGTGAGGACTAAAATAGAATGCCTCTTTTCCAGTAAAATGAGTCTCCGGTTCTCTACACTCACCGTGCGAAACACAGCAGCATTAAGCTGCTATTTTACGCTGGTATTCTGTGAGAGCGTGGTCCTTTCCCGGTCGAGCCGACCCATTCGTGCTACAACTATATTAACGTCATAATATATTTCAATCAATTCTAGGTCGATATTTCACGGTCAAGCTTTCGATCACCTCAAAATTAACTTCCGTAGATATTATGTAATTGGAAATATGTAACCCAAAACAATAAAACATGAAACTTTAATATCTATAATATACGAGTACAAAATAAACTACAAAATAATTTACATTTCTCCTCGTCATATTCAATCAAAGAAAAAACATCCATTATATGTCTCTCTGCATAATTTTATCTGCAAAAAGAAATAAATAAAATATTTAACGGTAAGTGGTTGATGTGGCCCACAGACATCTACATCTAGATGTCTGTGGGCCACATCAACCACTTACCGTCAGCCTATTCCTTTTTAAAAGGCCGGCAACGCATCTGCAATTCCCCTGGTTCCCTTGGTGTTGCAGTTGTTGGGCGGCGGTAGTGACTTACCATCAGGTGAGCCGCATGCTCGTTTGCCTCCTCTCCTATAAAAAAAATAATAAAAAAAGGTGGACTGTGTGCTCGTTTGTCACCCTTTTTCTATTAACAAAAATTAATAAAAATAATCATTTGGTTTCTAAAGACCAAGATACCACAGACCCAAGCAAATACCGCCCCATAACGTGTCTACCTACCATATACAAGACACTAACATCAATTTTGAGCGCGAGAATCACTCGTTACCTGAACTCAAATCAGGTGATGTCTCGCGCCCAAAATGGATGTCGAGACGGTGGTCGTAAACCAAAGAATCACTCCTTATTGACGCGATCATTGACAAGGTGGTTAAACGCAACCGGCGGAACTTCCTCACCGCCTGGATTCACTACAAAAAGGCATTCGACTCGATACCCTCATACATGGCTGTAGAGGGTCCTCGAGCTGTACAAGGTGACTGTATAGTTCGAGACTTCCTCGGGCAGTGTATGCGGTAGTGGAGTACGATACTTTGTCATCTAGGCGAGCGGATGACGGATACGGAATGCCACATAAGGATAAGAAGGGGTATCTTCCAGGGCGGTTGTTTGAGTCCAATCTGGTTTTGCCTCTATCTAAATCCTCTCAGTATCTACCCGAAGGGATCCGGGAGAGGATTTCTGCTTCGGAAAGGAGGTACAAAAGTGACCCAATTTTTCTATATGGGTGATATCAAGTTATTTGCTTCCAATTGCTCCCAACTTATGGAATTGCTAAACAACACTTGTGATTTTAGCAATTCTATTAGAATGGGGCTGGGGACGGATAAGTGTGCAGTCCTCCATGTCGAAAGGGGTGGGGTTGCTGATTCTGAGGGCATAGACTTATCTATGCCCATCAACATCAGAACCCTATCCGAGGCTGAAACATACCGATACCTGGGTATGTCACAGAACATAGGTATCGATGAGGCGGACATGAAAAAGGAGCTCCACGGGAGGTTCTACAAAGGTCTTCATGAGCCTTTCGTAAATACAGTTGCCTCCCTCCACTGGCTAAGTTTTGGTGACCTTTTCGAGGAAACCAAGAATTTTTTCTGTGAAATACAGGATCAAGTTATTAAGACCAACAACTATCGGAGATACATCCTAAAGGATGGCACCGTCGACATCTGTCGAGCTTGTCGCCATCCCGGTGAGTCACCTAGGCACGTCATCTCTGGTTGTTTGGCGCTTTCTAACTCTGAGTATTTACACAGATAGGATATAACCAGGATTCTGCACCAGGAGCTCACTCTGAAATACGGTCTTGTGGATCGGAAACTGCCTTATTATAAGTACTTGCCGGAAACCGTGCTCGAAAATGACCGCGCCAGGCTCTACTGGGACCGGGACATCATCACAGATGGGACTATTTTTGCGAATAAGCCTGATATTGTGCTGATGGATCGGGCGCAGTCAAGAACCTCGTGAAAGCCGAAGCAGATAAGAAAATAAAATATCTGGACCTGGTTCATGAGGTGACCGACATATGGGGTGGTCCGCCGACCGAAATTATTCCTGTAGTCATCTCTGCAAACGGGTTAATACCGGTCAGCCTTTCGGGTCATCTGAGGCGACTGGGACTCCGTGACGGACCGCTCCGGGCTCAAATGCAGAAGGCGGTGCTCCTTGATACCGCCCACATCGTCCGCCGTTTTCTTTCCCTTTCCCCCTAACCCTCGGCCGTTTGGTCTCCTCTGCCGAGGGCTTCCATCTGGTTGGGGTTTTATTTATTTATGTATTATTTATTTATTTATGTTAGTATATTAAATATATATTTATGTTTATTGCATACCTTAAACGAAAGCGCAAGGTATGTTCTACTATCGCCTAAAAATTAAGATTCCAACGTTTTATCGAATAAAATCATATCTAGCAATCATATTATACATATAAAGGATATAAGAAGCACATTGTTGGAAAGATAAATGATTGTTGAACTTATTAATTTTTTTTTTAATCGATTAATTGCTATTTTTAAATAAAAAAGGGGTTTTAGTGGCTTATGGTGTGGATTTATCATGTCCCCAAGGCTTGTAAACACTATAAATTTTGAAAATATCAATTGTTTAACTCAATTTTTTTTTTAATCTCCTCATCTATCATGTGGGAACCCACTGAATATAAATGGCAGTGTAATTTTGTTTTGTTTAGCTATAATTAATTTTTTCGGCTCCAATATGGCTAAATTTTCGTTGATTTGGTAGCCTTGTGTGTAAATTATTTCTGTAAATGGGGAGCTACAGCCACAGAGTAGTTTACACAGAGTACTTTGGTAGTTTAGTTCGGCTTCAGTCGCCGTCGTGAGTGGACATTGTTTCGGTTGTTTGCAGCGGCTCAAAAAGATTGCTGTACAAATACACAATATTCGAATAACCAAATTTATTAAATACTTAATTATAATAATAATAAGAGATTCTTTTTATTACAATATTTTAAAAGCACAGAATAAATAATAGTAGTACGTACTAAAAGTAAGTAGTATATTTTTTTTGTCATGGGTGACATTTTCATGGTTTTCGAGGGTGTTGAAACCGATAGGGTTGTCGAAATGTAAATCCAAGACGGCGGCCGCAATAGGTATCAATTTTTTCATTATGGGTGTTATTTTCATGGTTTTCGAGGGTGTTGAAGCCCATAGTGCTGTCGAAATGTAAATCCAAGATGGCGGTTGAATTATGTACCAATTTTTTCATCATGGGTGTAATTTTCATGGTTTTCAAGAGAGTTGAAGCCGATAGGGTTGTCGAAATGTAAATCCAAGGTGGCGGCTCCACTAGATATCAATTTTTTCATCATGGGTGACATTCTCATGGTTTTCGCGGGTGTTGAAGCCGATAGTGCTGTCGAAATGTAAATCCAAGGTGGTGGCTGCAATAGATATCAAGTTTTTCATCATGGGTGTCATTTTCATGGGTTTCGAGGGTGTTGAAGCCGATAGTGCTGTCGAAATGTAAATCCAAGATGGCGGCTGAAATAGGTACTAATTTTTTCATCATGGGTGTAATTTTCATGGTTTTCGAGGGTGTTGAAGCCGATAGTGCAGCCGAAATGTAAATCCAAGATGGCGGCTAAATTAGGTACCAATTTTTTCATCATGGGTGTAATTTTCATGGTTTTCGAGAGAGTTGAAGCCGATAGGGTTGTCGAAATGTAAATCCAAGATGGCGGCTCCAATAGATATCAATTTTTTCATCATGGGTGACATTCTCATGGTTTTCGCGGGTGTTGAAGCCGATAGTGCTGTCGAAATGTAAATCCAAGGTGGCGGCTGCAATGGGTATCAATTTTTTCATCATGGGTGTCATTTTCATGGGTTTCGAGGGTGTTGAAGCCGATAGTGCTGTCGAAATGTAAATCCAAGATGGCGGCTGAAGTAGGTACCAATTTTTTCATCATGGGTGTAATTTTCATGGTTTTCGAGGATGTTGAAGCCGATAGTGCTGTCGAAATGTAAATCCAAGATGGCGGCTGCAATAGATATCAATTTTTTCATCATGGGTGTCATTTTCATGGTTTTCGAGGGTGATGAAGCTGATAGTGCAGTCGAAATGTAAATCCAAGATGGCGGCTGAAGTAGGTACCAATTTTTTCATCATGGGTGTAATTTTCATGGTTTTCGAGGGTGTTGAAGCCGATAGTGCTGTCGAAATGTAAATCCAGGATGGCGGCTGAGCAAATTACCAATTTTTTCATCATGGCTGTCATTTTCATGGTTTTCGAGGGTGTTGAAGCCGATAGTGGTGTCGAAATGTAAATCCAAGATGGCGGCTGCAATAGATACAAATTTTTTCATCTTGGGTATCATTTTTATGGTTTTCGAGGGTGTTGAAGCCGATAGTGACGTCAAAATGTAAATCCAAGATGGCGACTGCAATAGGTATCAATTTT